TTAAGGTTGGGGTGGAAGGTGTTAGTGAAGTGTATGAACTGTTCGAGCTCCTCGTGGGAGCACGAGGCGGCGCCGATACAGTCATCAATGTAACGGAGGAAGAGGTGGGGTTTAGGGCCGGTGTAGGTACGGAAGAGGGATTGTTCCACGTAACCTACAAAGAGGCAGGCGTAGCTTGGGCCCATGCGGGTACCCATGGCTACCCCCTTTGTCTGTAGGAAGTGGGAGGAATTGAAAGAGAAGTTGTTGAGTGTGAGGACGAGTTCGGCTAAGCGGATGAGGGTATCAGTGGAGGGGGACTGGTCGGGCCTGCGGGACAGGAAGAAGCGGAGGGCCTTAAGGCCATCTGCATGGGGAATGCAGGTGTAGAGGGACTGGACGTCCATGGTAAAGATGAGGTGTTGGGGACCGGGGAATTGGAAGTTCTGGAGGAGGTGGAGGGCGTGGGTGGTGTCACGGACATAGGTAGGGAGTTCCTGGACCAAGGGGGAGAAAATGGAGTCTAGATAGTTGGAGATCAGTTTGGTGGGGCAGGAGCAGGCGAAGTTTGTTCACTTTGACAGGATGATGATGTAGAGGCAATTTAGGCGCAATTATAAAGTGATTCAGGGACTTGGGTGGGTTTGTGTATTAGTCATTAAAGGTGGCAGGACAGGATGAGGAACTGATTTAGTGAAGCTTTCCCAGGGTGTGATTTCCTGCTCCCTGGAAGAGGCAAGAAGGGGAAAGAAATGGGTGAGTTGCGCTGGAGAGAAACTCACCAACCCCTTGCCCCCTCAGCAATTAAGTGCTGGGGGGAGAAGTCTATATTGGTGGTGGATAATTATTGAACATTGACCATCCAGCCTGCTGAAACACCTGTCTCTGCAGTGGGCAAATAAAATGCCTAGTGTCCAAACTGAGAATTCATAGTGACCAGCCTGCACTGTTAGTTGAGAAGGGGGCCTCCAATTGTCCCAATCTGATGACCACCAGCAGCCCCCCTGAAAACCAGCTCCTGCTTTTGTCTCTGGCAGCTACCACCCACAAGATGGGAAAAAGGAACTTGCAGGAGCAAATTACTACAGATGTTGGAATCTGTACTGATAACAAAAAGTGCTGGAGATCACAATGGGTCAGGCAGCATTCATGGAGAGAAAGCAAGCTTCTCAGCTCTAATAAAGAATCATCTAGACTCAAAACTTGCTTTCTGTCCATGTTTTTGTCTTCAGTAAGAAGGAACTTATCTTCTCATGATTTACCCCTCTAGGGATCTAGTCTCGACTGGAACCCAGAGCCTACCAGCCTCTGGCCGGCAGTTTCTGAAGTCCCAGCTCACCTTGGTCAAAGTCTATGACAGATTGATTCTCTCTCTCTTTCTCTCTCTCTCTCTCTCTCTCTCTCTCTCTTGTTTATCTGTCATATCCTAATGTACTGATTGGTGGGCAGTTTGCTGAGTTACCTCATTGATAGGAATTGTGTGTTAAATGCCAAAAGCATGCTCATCCACGCACTTTAATGTAAAATATCCTCCCGTAGGGTTCAAGGCCAAGGAAGTTATGCTAAATGTATAAAACAGTGATTTGGTCTCCTATGAATTATTGTGACAAGCTCCAGACAACTCACTTTTGGAATCGTGTGAAGGCATTAGAGATGGTGCAAAAAAGATTAATTCAAATGCTTTTAGTGTTGAGGAAGTTGTTTGGGGGAGTTGGAATGTTTTTGGCATGGAGAAATTTGGGAGGACGTTTTATGGAGTTGTTAAACACCATGGGGGTCTGGATAGAGTCAATGGGGGTAAACTGTTGCTACTTGTGGGCAGGATTGAGAACCAGAGGGCATGTATTTAAGGTAATTGATGAAAGAAGTTATGGGGACACAAGAAACTTTTTCTCACATTGACTGGTTAGGATCTGGAATGTGCTACCTGAGAATGCAGTGGAAGTAGGTTCAGTTGAAGCACTTGAGAGGAATTGATTGTTATCTGAAAAGGAAGCATTGCGCAGCATCATGGGGGTAAGGCAGGGGAATAGAAGTGGATGCATTGCTCATTTGGAGAGATGGCACTGACAACAGGTTGAATGGCCTCCTTCTGTGCTATAATAAATCTGTGATAGTGGAACCGAATCCTTTAAGCACTCCATAGATCTAGTCCCCAAAGCTTCATTATTAAAGGTTAATGTGTAATCAATATTATAGGACAGAAGATCACTAACTCCATTCCTATTGTGTACTTTACTAGATAGTCTCAATGTCACAGTAAGGTAGCTGCAAATAGCCCCTGCGTCTCTAGTGATTGACAGCTGTAGGTATATCCTGAAGGTTTGATCAGATGCACATGAGCCTAGACGAATGCTAATTTAAGGCCTAACTGCATACAATAAGTAGACTTCTGCCTGCGCTGTCTTTTACAACAAAACACATATAAGTGATAACAGCCATTGCTACAATTTTCAGCTTGCTGCCTCTTAGTTGTTGTCTGACGTTGGGTGTCTCAGTGTGTGATTGAATGGGTACATATAAAGTTCACCATTCGGAAGGCAAAATTGCCATTGAAATCTGATTTTGTCAATTTCTTCATATATGATTAATTGTTCTGTTAACATTCTACGTGGGATGTCTTTAACGTTTTTACTTTTGGTCCGCAGGTATTGGGCCTGTCCTAGGACTGATATTTGTTCCGATGATCGGTTCAGCAAGTGACCATTGGACAAGTCGCTATGGCCGCCGACGCCCCTTCATTTGGGCGCTCTGCTTTGGGGTCCTTCTGAGTCTCTTTGTTATCCCTCATGCCAGCAAGATGGCCACTTTCTTCAGCCTGAAAGATTACCCTGTCGATGTGATCTTCCTTATCGTTGGGATCTGCATGTTGGACTTCTGTGGCCAAGTCTGTTTCACCCCTCTGGAGGCCCTGCTCTCAGACTTGTTCCATGATGCAGAAGATTGCAGGCAGGCTTTCTCCATGTATTCCTTTATGATCAGCCTGGGGGGTTGTATCGGCTACCTCTTGACAGCAGTGGACTGGAAAAGGACCTTTCTGTCCACTTACCTTGGTGGGCAAGAAGATTGCCTCTTCACACTTCTGGCTGCCATATTTATTTTCTGTGTTCTTGCAACTTTTTTTGTATCTGAGGAAAACGGTAGTAATATGGATGGCCGGGTTGACATTTCACCAAAGGAAGTCATTAAGCCTCTGTCAAGGTACTGTTGTTGCTCCACTAGTATGCTTTGGCGAGCAAGGCAGTACCTTCTGGTACTGAAGAACTGTTGCACTTTGATCCCCAAACTCTCTAACTTGTACTGTCGCATACCTAAGGTGATCCGGCAGCTGGTTGTAGCCGAGTTCTACAGCTGGATGGCTCTCATGACGTTCATGATGTTCTACACAGACTTTGTGGGGGAGGGGCTGTACCACGGAATCCCTAATGCTGATCCTGGGAGTGAAGCTAGGCTACGCTATGATGAAGGTACAGTGACTTTAGCACGAAAGAAATTGTCAATAATTAACAATAATTATCTTCTTATTTTATTAGAATCAAAACTGAAGGTCACAAGTCTGACTGACTATATCTATTTGGCTCCATAAGTTTTAACTTGGAAAGTGCAAATATCTGCAATAATTCATGTCTGATATATTAACAGAGGTAAATCCTTTTCAAATCAGAACAAACACTGGAGCACAGCAGATTTTTTTTAAAAAACAACAATGCGATTTATAATTAGTTAAATAAAAAGCGAAATATCTGCGGATGCTGTAAATCAGAAACAGGCCCTTCTGAGGAAGGAGCAAAAACAGAAGTTGCTGGAATACCACAGCGGGTCTGGCAGCATCTGTGAAGAGAAAATCAGAGTTAACGTTTCGCGTCCGGTGACCCTCCTTCACAACTGAGGAAGAGTCGCCCGACCCGAAACATTAACTCTGATTTTTCTCCACAGATACTGCCAGAACTGTTGAGCTTTTACAGCAATTTCGGCTTTTGTTTATAATTGGTTAGCCTGTTCTGTCAGTGTTACTCGAAGAAATGTCAGCTAAAATATTGAAAGGATTCACCCTGCTCCTTTCACCTAGAGGCAGACCCATCTTTGTGTCAATGGTCCTCACATGCACTATGTTTGCTTCAGGAAAGTGCAGGTGAGCAGGAATCGAGGGGAGGTGATGGCCCAGTGGTATTATTGCCAGATTATCAATCTGGGGATCAGGGTTTGAATCCTGCCTTGGCAGACGGTAGACATTGAATTTAGTGCAAATCTGGAATTGAGTCTAATGGTGACCATGAAATTATGGGGAAAACCGCATCTGGTTCATTGCCTTCCTTTAGGGAAGAAACTTACCTTGCACTAAATGCAATAAGCCACATCACAGCCAAGAGAATCTTGAAATGTAATAAGTGCTGTTTAGAAATCTGTTTTGTAAAAAACTTCCTCTTTTTACAACCTTATAAATGTTATGCCATATAAACTTGTATGTCAGGCACTGTCTACTTAGTTTCAATAACAGAAGCTTCATACCCACTTCATACCCACTTCATACCCACTTCATACCCACTT